AAATCCAACTATATTTATCTAACTGTACAGCTTATAAAATATGTCACACACCGTTCACTTCTGAGACGCTTGTTTGGTTTCTTTCTCGGTACACACGCACCTAATTAAATCGTCGCTAAAAGAAAAACTTGGACTCGCGAAACAATTCGAAACTTTTTTATTTCACTTTATACTTTGCTGAAATTTTTTTTTTTTTTTTGTACAAAAACCGCGATCGAGATAAAAGCAAAAATTGGATAAAAATATATTGACGCGTGTTATAAGTCGCGTGTTTATTCGCAATCTATTAATTGGATTTCTCGTGTGTGTCGGTCGATATCTTCTTCTTAAGTGCACTATCGCGCTCGCGTCAGTCGCAAGGAACGACGACGTAATGACTTGCACGTAAAGTTCAACGTTTTGCTTTCGTGGCAGTTTTATTTGATTACATAATTGTTGAATAAGTCTCTCTCTCTCTCCCGGGTGATGGGGAAACGGGCGGAGACGAGAAAGGCTCTGAGAAAACGCGAATAATTCTGTGTATTATTGCGCATAGATATATATATATACAAACGATTCACAGCGGTGTTTTTTAAGTCTGACACGAGCGAGCGACGAAATGAGTGTTCGAAATTATATTAACAAAATATATTAGCCAGGCCACAGATTCGTGCGAAAACGAATGATGATTTGAAAAAAAATGTCTGAATTAATTAACAGTCGCGCGTAGATCGTGCTTCCTGGTAATAACCAGGTTCGTACGCGGCATCAGACCAATCAGATTGCGAACGCGGGGAGAACCCCTCGGGGGTGAAAGTCTTACGTCAGAAACGTACGTCTTATTATGCGCCGGACGCGCGACCCACGCAGCAGAACCGATTCTGCTCCCACGGAAAGTCCGAGAATGTGCCCCCTTCAATTGAGAGAGAAAGAGAAAGAGTAAGAGAGAAGGAAAGAAAAAGAGAAAGAACAATTCCTCCAGTGACGGTGCGGATGCACCTGCGAGATCGTGGAACGCGAAAGCGTCTCGAGAATTCTTCAATACAGAAAGTAACGACAAATATATCGCTACGATCAATTTAGCAGTTTTATTACCGTATCACGACGACGTGTCATGACGATTTTTGTAGCTCACAATGCGAAATATTATTTACAGACGATAATAACGCGAGAGAGCCGATATAGATAATTTTTATCAATTTCTAATAATACCACCGTACCACCTTCTTCCTCCCCGTTTTGACACGAGGGAATATATATTCGGAGGAACGTTTTGTCGATTTATTACAACGGTCTCACCGGTAATTAAAAAAGAAACCTTGGAATTTCCTTGAAACACGAAACGAGAGAGGCGAGCGAAAGTAAACCAATCTCATTCCAAGTGTTTCGTCAATCTTAATAAGAAACGAAGAGAAAAAAAAACTGTTTTTAAATGAAACGAAAGCGAGAATGATACAGTGTGTGAGGCATTCGATTCTCTCGCGAGCATGCATCGAAAGATGCATTAAACGAGATATGAGATTTTTTCGACCTTGTAACACATCGCCTTTTGTGTGTGTGTGTGTTCTTTCACGGTGCCGAGAATCGTTTTTGTTTTGTTTTGTGAACTTCTGTTGTCGATTTTGCAAGACCGAGAGAAAGATAATGACCGCTCGATCGAGATTGTATTTTTTTTTTTTACCTTCCATTAGAGGCAGAAAAGAGAGAAGCGGCGCGCGCTCGCGGTGCACAGAACAAGAAAAAAAAAACAAAGATATGCAACTCGCCGATAAGATACGCCATCCCTAAATGAGACCGCGTTTCAATTTCGACATTTTGCTTAACAAAATTATCGTTCGCGACGCGTTTATCGCTAGAAGGAAATACATTAAATGCATAAGGTTCTATTATTATTGCATTATCGAACGTACACCATTATTGCATTTTGCGCCACGTTCTCGGAAAATGATATCGCGATTGAAAAATGTACTTATTACGCAACGTTGACTCGCCACACACACACACACACATACAATTGCTGATCGCGCGACGCAATATATGTATATACAAATCTGTTAGTCACCTGCGGATAATAATTGATCGACCGTGGCGCGGTCATCTGATCGTTGCGTACTTCTATTATTACAAAAAAAAAAAAAAAAAAAAAAAAAAGAAAACTAAATCTCTTCCGTGTGCCGGCAATTATAATTATTATTGGCGAATCCGATGCTCTTCGTGTGTTCGCGCACGATTTTGTCGGATTGATGCGGACAAAGAGTGAAAGCACGTTATTAAAGGTACCGCTTTTACCGCAGCCGAGTTTCCCGATCCACAGAAGCGCAACTGACGCGCACGGTGACGCATTCTTCCGGTCTGACCGATAGATTATTTCATGCGATAATATATAAATTTCATACACGGGAGATATTACGACGCGATTTCCATCGCGGCGACAATTTTTTCGCGCGATCGGAAAGATAACGAAAGCGAACCGCGATATCTCAAAATCTTTGATAACGCGTATCGGACGACGGATATATTTTCTTCGATATAAATTTTAAGAGATAATGCGAAACCGGCCACACAGTACCCGGTAGTCCTTTGCTTTCGTCTCTCAATTGTTTTCGACGCAGCAAATGAAACACGTTTGCGAGCGAATCGAACTGAACTCGCGCGCGTCCCGCGGCTTGTATATATATATATATATATACTGTAACGTTAATTGAGAGTAGTTGTGTTACGGTGATAACAGTCATCAACTTCTTCAGTTGTGGAAACCGTCCGTCGACACGACCCGAGGAAAGCGAGGAATATCGCGCGCGCCGTTCTCTCCACCGTTCACCGGCGCTAACGTTATGTTATTTCACCTCTCTCGCGCGCGCCCGTTTATCTTGTCTCTTCCTCGCAAAAGCTTTCTTCCTAGCAGCGGCAGCAAGCAACAACAACAGTACGTTAACCCTCACGTAGTTTCTCACGGATCTCGTAACAGAGAAATCCGATATCCACGACTCTGTTGTAAATTAATAGCAAAGACTACACTATTGGCGAGATAATTAACATTCGGACTCGGATCCAACACATGCACGTGACACGGGCGTTCTGATTGCGCGCCGCACATGTGTTGGATTTTATTACGCGAATGTCTCCTGAAATCAATCTTTGCGCGAGGGTGCGAAACTGGTGAGTTGTTGTTGGAAAGCGGAGAAAAACGAGTGTGTGTGTGCGCACACACACATTCTCGTGCAACATATTACTACATTATACCATATTACTACGCGCACACACTCACCGCGTACTTGTCCTTGTAAAAGAGCGAACTTGTCGACATGTTTGGCTCAAACCGGTGGCGATGCCCGCTTCAAATCGAAGGTCGTCGCGTCTCCGTCGTCGTCCTGATCATCGTCAATGCCACGTTCTTCTCCTTGCGAGAACTCTCTTTCCCCTTTTCCTTCCGCTCCGGAAATCGTCGTCGCGCACTCACACTCTGCACACACGAATAATTATCGATAAACAACAAGCTTTTATTGCTATCGGCAAGCTTATGTGCGGCGAAACACAAGAGAGAAATGTAAAATACATACGTTGCGTAAATATATTTATCTCGCGACCTTTGTACGCATTTAAATGACACCAATTGATAAAATTTAGATTTACTTAACATTTGTCGAGTGTATAACGAAAAAAGATCAAAAATCACTTTTTATCCGCATTGAAAAATCTGAAGATGAAAATAAAATCAGGCGTGTGTAACGTACGCATCTTAAATTGTATAAGTTTAATATGTTGTATGTGTGTGTGTGTGTGTGTGTGTAGAATTTATTTAACGAGCAAAACACAATATATATCAACAGAAATGCAATGCAACAAAAAATGTAAAAAAAAAAAAAAAAAGAAAACTCCTACATGTGTTTTTACGTTTCTTTCATTATAATCTCGGATAACATTTTCTCGTGATGTTACTTAAAAATTTTTTTTCAGATCTGCCTGTTTCGATGCAAAACGAAAATTTCGCTCGCGTGTCAAGGAAGTGTTTTCGTTTCGAAGCGCACGCGGCGATACGTATCTCTCGCCTTCTCTTTTTCACTTACTTTACTCTTTCTAATATCATCATTTCTTTCTTCAATTATTTCGACAATCCTCCCCTGTGTTATATATGTTTCGTGTAATTTTGAGAATGTTCCTACCTTTTTGAGAGAGAGAGATAGAGAGAATTACGTCGAGATTTGCGCGAAGAGGTGTGCGCCGCGAAGTCGACTGCACTACTGCGCCGCGGCAATGAGCGATCGATCGATCGATCGACAGAGGGAGATACGCCTCTCCTTGCGACGATGACTTCGCGCATCCACCCACGCGCGTAGTATATATATATATGCACACACCGGAAGAGAGGAGAAGCCGCAGCGGATGGCAGATCGCACCTGAATCGAACCTGCTGGAGACAGAGACTGCTCCGGTCTCTCCGAAGAACTTGCGTGTCCAGTTAGTTTGGGGGAGCAGAAGGGCGACCCCACCATATACACCGAGTCTTGTCTCTTCTCCCCTTCCATTGTCGATTGACCTACAATCTCTCTCTAGCCGCTTTGTGTTCGTATCTCCCTCCCGGTCTACGTGTGTGCATCCTTTTTTTTTTTTTTTTTTCTTATCTCCGCCGTCATCGGTTTTCCTTGAGGCGGCTTCTTCCTCTCGCGAATTTTTCCACGTCCTAACTTGTTTAAAAAAAAATGATTAACAAATTATTTGTAAATTTTAATAAACAGAGAGAGAGAAAGAGAGAGAGGGAGAAAAACTTAATTATTGTATTCGCTTAGTCACGGAAGAAACATCGATCGAAAGTGTTTTGAACTAAATTGAGTCGCGATACAGAGCGATACGCGTACCTGAGACAAAAATTGCGAGAAAACGGAGAACTCGTCCTGTTTCGAGGATTTTTTCCGTAATACTGGAGGAGAAAAAAAACGCGCTCGCGCCCATTTCGAAGGTGGTCGAAAAAGAAAAAAGAAAAAGAGCGCCCTCGCGCGGCCTGCGAGCACGACAACGACGGTGTCGAGACACCGAACGAGAGACCAAGCTCGTGCGAGATATCTCGAAGTGCAACGATCTCGAATCGGGGGTCTACGGCGCGGAGCGTGACTGCGCTGTGTGTTTGTTTCCTTCTCGTCGCCCGAAAGGCATCACGTACAGTCATGACGCAAGAGGGACAGTAAGTATATTGGAATTGGCATAAATCGAGACGGCGAATTGCGTCGTGGTGTCTAACGATCGAGCGCGCGATCACGTTACATACCCGCACGGTCGTGTGTAACCACCGCGGATCGTCCCCGCATTACCGCCCCGTGGTTTTCGAACCATCGCCATGTTTAGCGAAACGGCTTTTATTGATTCTCGAAATTTCCGAAGCGAGAATTGCGTCTTTCCCGGAACGAAAATTCGGATCGTCGTTCGTCCCCGTCGTTCGTTTCTCCGAACTCGCGGGGGGGAACCCTTCAAATGTCGCGATTCCGCGATTCTCCGTTCGTGTCCTTCATCGAGAGACTTGCTCGATCATGCCCGATAGCGTGCCGGAACACGTAATTCAATGAGTTTCATTTTTCGTGCATTCTCGTCGCGGCTAAATCCTCCGATCGATCGATGCAATTGACGATCGACGTATCTTGTCGTTGATATTCTTTCGGTCTATTGCACGTATACGACGATCTAAATGCAAAACGTCACCTTAATCTCGGGGTTTCGCGACCTAACCTATAAATGCACAAACAAATCCCCCCGATGCTGATGTTACGCACACGTGGAAACAGCTTGGGGAGCTTGCTTGATCAATGTTCCGACTCAATGTGCGATATGTCTAAGATAAATAACTTGGAGATACACATGGCGCAAATTGCAACAAATGTGTTTTTACATTATTTTTGCTAGTAAAGTAAATAACAGGTTTTGTTTTATCGCTTAAATTGAAAATGATTAAAAATTTAGTTTCGCATTAAACCATTTTTATTTTACTTCTCTGTGTAGGTTTCCGCCCCCACCTGTTATGTGGGCTCAGAGGAAGGACATTTTATATGTTACAATTTGCTTAGAAGACTGCAAGAATCCCATTCTTGAAATAGAACCGGAGAAGATATATTTCAAAGGAGAGGGCGGCACAGACAAAAAAATGCATGAACTCACAATTAATCTATACAAAGAAATTGACCCAAGCAAAACTATAAAAACTATGAAAGGCAGAACTTTTGAATTAGTACTTGTTAAAAAAGAGGAGGGACCATATTGGCCACGGCTAATTAAAGACAAATCAAAGGCTCATTGGTTAAAGAGCGATTTTAACAAATGGAAGGATGAAGATGATACTGATGATGAGAGTAGCCCACCGGATTTAGAAGAGGTGAGTTTGAGTTGTGTGAGGCTTTGATAAAAAAAAAAATTTGAAAACTTTCAGTTATATATTAAAATTATAAAATATACAAATGATAAAAAATTTATTGTACTGTATTGTATAAAAATTATTTGTACATTTTATATATATATGTGTGTGTGTGTGTGTGTGTGTGTGTGTGTAAAATAATTATTTTTCTAATGTAGTACTATAAACTTGCTCTTTCACCATCAATGCGATTTTTGGAAGCACAGGTTTTTCCTCTCCGAGATCGACATCTTTTCTTCCCCAATTATATATTTATACATATATAATATCACATATGTACATATATTCATTATAAACGTTTTACATTAATAATTTTTACATCAATCTCACAGATGATGCGACAGATGGGTGGTCTAAGTGGTTCCGGCGACAGTAAACCAAATTTTGATGACTTAGACGAATTAGGAGACAATGAAGCAGATAGCGATGATGAAGAACTTCCTGATTTATATGATTAAAATAATGAGTAACCGTGCGCGTCGATCAATTAACTAATTCCGTATTAAAAATACAAATGGCAACCTAAGAATAGAACACACCTGCAATGTTTCGATGGGTTTTGCTATTTGTATTAATTGCAAATTTGCTAAACAGGATCTTGTTGCAAGTAGCAAACTGGATGCGCAAAATGAATTTGAAAAAAAAAAAACAGAAACAAAATGTAAAGATACAATCTGATAACAGTCAAACAAACAGTAACATAGGTCTCGAAAACTTCTTCACACCTTTTCCGCCTCCCCTGTTAGCCTGTAGCTTATATATACATATATAAGTTATAATGAGAAATAAAAGCTTTTTTAATAATGTATTGTGTAAAGTAATAAAAAGAGGATAAGAAAACTGTCGAAATAACAAAATTGTTCATGGAATTGTTCATTTTAGAATCCTAGGAAAAAGAGGACTATGTTATTAGCGGACACATGACAAAATTCTTTGTCCGTGAGGTAAAGTTGGTTGTCGATTCTTTACTTCCACTCTCTCTCGTCAATGAATCGTTCCGTGTTATTCTCTCTGGTTCCGGAATATTTCCTCGTTGTCTTTAAATGAAATCTTTTATTACATTAAAAGTGTGTGAATGTGTGAATAAATTGAAGTATCATCAATATGCAATACACACGATTCGTACAATGTAAATAAATAATTGCGTACAGTTCTATAAATTATATATACATGTAATATTAAGTAATATATATATATATATATATATGCTATTAGTTTAACCAACAATGCTGGATGCTCCGCGTAAAGCCAAATATCCAGCTGTTATATCCATTGGTAAACTACGAACTGTGGCAAACTCCTCGGCGGTTGCGTAATATAATTTTGTCTGCGGATCCGTGTATCGTGCCTGTAAAATAAAAAAAAAAAAGTATTTATATTCGAGATATCCTCCCCCAAAATATGGACGAAAAATCAGCTTGTTTGTTAAAAAATTATACTGCGAAAACTTTACTCACCGGCAATCCGGAAATGTCGGAGTATTTCTTGGCGGGTTTAAAACTTGGCGGCGCATTAATGGAACTGTCTGAAATTAGTACAATACATAATCGTGCTAGAGTGACATAGAAATATGTACTTCTCTCTTTAAAATATTTTACTTTTACATATTTGGTAAAACTTTTGTTATCACATATATGAGATATGCCTGAGATGTTTTGTTGCGAGATTTGAAGATTTTTTAATCTTTAACTGATGTAGAAAAAACAAAATGTCACGAGAGAAAAATAAAGGTTTATTAGACGTACAGTGTTTTACTGTCGATGGCCATGGCAAAGAACGCTCCTGCGCCAAAATTTGTTTCAACGAACGCCAAGTGCGCTTCTTGCCGGTCGTGCTGATCGGTCGAAATTTTTGTTGAAACAAACGGTTTTTAAACACAGGCTGCGATTTCTTGTTGCCCTCGCTGCTTATTTCTTCGCCCGTCATTTTTCAATTGATTTTGCGAACTGTAAGATTTGTAAACAACAAGAGTTCATTGTGCCGGAGTAAAAATTGTTTCTTTATACGTATGTGTGAGAGGGAACGTAATTTAAATAAAGATTTAGAAGAATTTAAATTTTTAATTTAAGCGGGAGATGAAGTATATATATATAGAACAAGATACGGTTGTTTTGAGAGATAACTTTGTGTATACGTTATTTTTGCAAAACTACTTTGAAATATGTTTAATATATTTATAGGACAGTACAAAAGGTCCGAACTTATTGATTTTTTTTCTAGTTGGTAACAGTTTTTCGTTACTTTTTGCTTGACATTACAGCAGGATTGGATTTGAATTTTTTATATGGCAACATTATTTTAGAGTCTCGTTTGGTAGGTACTCTTGGAAAAAATTGATAGATTTTTTAAGTGCCAATTATTGGATATTTTTATCCTGTATGTTTCGTAAGAAATTACATTTGAAATAATGCTTGATTATTAAGACAGAAATTAAAAATGTTATCAATAGCATCTCGACGCCAAGTACGCTTAACGTATGAAACATTTAGCAAAAGATTGCATATTTGCGTCATATCATTTCGCGATGTCAAATTGAAGATTAGTACTTTGGCACTTTTCTGTTCGTTTGTAACGAAAACTTTCAACTTTTTGTAATGTCATTTAGGAAGGTGATATTAATAACAGATGTCATAAATGCGCACATAACTCGTGACTATTCACTTCTCCGATCTTCCGTTATCATCAAATACGGTAAGTAAATATTTACTTTTATATACCACAAAAAAAATGTTGACTCGCAAGATAACGAGGTTAGAAATTTGAAAAAATTTCAAGTTACACACAACTAAAGACACAACTCGTGCGTTGAGTCAATAACCTTTTGAGCGCTTGTATTAATTTTCTTCGAATAAATGTTGAAAGTATAAAAAAAAATAAATTTCAAATCTGTTGCTTTTCTGTGGCTTTCCTGTTTTTGTTCACCTGTTAATTTAACACGACGCAAACACAACATCATCATCCACTTCCTTGAAATTCAAAGTTTCCTATAAATTTTTTTTTGTGTATTTTGATGTATCTTTCTGAAATTACAAAAGATCTGTTCTGATTCAGTTGTACTATGTTTGCATTTAATGAAAAAACCGAGTCGGTTCAAAGTCAAAAGACACAACGGTGATTGCGAGCACACGAAAACAAGGCGCAAAGTGCAAGACGGTGCAAATAGGTGGCAACAGTTTCACAGCTGAAACGACAGATCGAAGCATTTGGGGCGAGGAGGAGTGGAGCAGATCAAAGGAGAGGGGGAAATAGGAGTGTGACGAGATTTGCTTCACGTTCACCCTTATTTCACCTTGGCGCCCGCGTGAAGGTCAGAAGGAGCAACTTGTTTCAGAAGATTCGTTGCAGGTTGCACATCGCACAAGTGTCAGTTGTCGCAGGACGTGCAAAAACGAAAAATGGCGCGGAAATTCTTCGTCGGTGGCAACTGGAAGATGAACGGGACGAAGAGCGAGATCAACGACATCGTCGCGTTCCTGAAAGCTGGTCCGCTCGATCCGAATGTCGGTAAGCAATTTTATATATTGTGCAATTTTATTTTTCAACGACAACAGAGTTCGTCACATTTTTTAAATAATCTGCCTAAATGACGACACACTGTCTGCTGCTGACGTAATTACATAACATTCTGTGTTTTGAATTTTAGATTTGTATGTGAATTTTTTTCAATAATTTATTAACACATCTCATTTAATTTGCAGAGGTTGTGGTCGGAGCTCCTTCAATATATCTCTCCTATGTGGCTTCCATTCTTCCAAGCAATGTCGGCGTTAGTGCACAGAACACGTACAAAGTTCCTAAAGGAGCCTTCACTGGTGAAATTAGTCCAGCTATGCTTGTGGACAATGGCATTCCTTGGGTGATTCTCGGCCACTCCGAGCGCCGAAATGTGTTTGGTGAGACTGACGAATTGATCGCCGAAAAAGTTGCGCACGCCTTGGAAGCAGGAGTAAAAGTAAATAATAATTAGTTCGTTAAACGTTCAATTGGCGTATCTCTCTCTCTCTCTCTTGCTTAAAAATATCCATAAAATGATGAGTCCAAGACGAATTACTTCTTGTGCATTTTCTAGGTGATTGCGTGTATAGGCGAGAAGTTGGAGGAGCGGGAAGGAGGAAAAACTGAAGAAGTAGTTTATAGACAAACCAAAGCGATAGCAGATAAAATCAAATCCTGGGACAATGTGGTTTTGGCTTATGAACCCGTGTGGGCCATCGGCACAGGCAAAACCGCAACGCCGCAACAGGCACAGGAGGTTCATGAGAAATTGCGAGAGTGGTTGTCCAAGAACGTCAATCCCACCGTTGCGCAAACTTTGCGAATTATTTACGGCGGTTCCGTAACGGCAGGCAACGCCAAGGAGTTGGCGAAAGAGAAGGATATCGATGGGTTCTTGGTTGGCGGTGCGTCACTAAAACCCGATTTCGTACAAATTGTGAACGCTCGTTCTTGAATGGAATCGACAAGTATTATCTTCGAAAAAAAACTGTACATTGAATAAGACGCATAGATATATATATATATATACAGGATGTCCCAGAATTGCCGTACAATCTCTCGTAGGCAGATAGAAGAAATAAAACTGAGTCAAAAAGTCCTGAACCATTTTTTTTTATTATTTATAATAAAGAAGTAATTATTGAGTAAATCAGGCCAATCAGCGCCGACCTTTAGCCAGGCGCACGTCAGTGAGCCGCGCGCCTGGTGTGTGTGAGCGCTCGCTGACGTGATAGAAAAAAATAGAAAAAAATGGTTCAAGACTTTTCGACTCAGTTTTACTCTTTCTACCTGCCTACGAGAGATTGTACGGCAATTCTGGGACACCCTGTATATATAAACGAGAAGTTTATTCCTATCTACACAAAAGTACACAAAAATTTGCGCGGTGAGAATTTTATTTGAATATACATAAAAATTTATTTTCATCAAACATGTGTAAAGTTGTAAAGGAGAAATATATATATACTTATCATGTACAATTTTTCATCACACGTTCCAAAGTGTTTAGAACATTACACAATTACAAAAAAAAAAAAAAAAGTTTCATGTTACATTGTTACTAGATAACTGTTGTATACGCGTTGTAAACTCCTTAATGTATTTATGAATTTGCAAAACGTGCATTGTTAGAAATGAATCAAGCATGTACATATCTATCGTTCATTTCTGTTTCCACCGTACCGCCGAAAAAAAAACGCTTGATCGAACAAATTGACATTATACGAAAGTTATCAATAAATGTTAGAAAGAAAGAATACCTCGTGCGCAATCTATGCGATATCTCATTTAATCAATCCTCTTACAAAAACATTCTTTGGTACTTCGACATTAGCGACGGATCTAAAATGATCTTGCTTCGCTCTGGCGCAAGCGATATCCGTGAGAGCCTTGAACGATCGAGGTTCCCAAATCGCCAAGTCAGCCAGTGACTTTCGATTCAAGAAGATGTTACATCTACCCAGTCCCGTTCTGAGAGTAGTAAGATCGATGTTGTGTTCCTGCGACGCAGCCTCCACTCTTTGTTCGCGCAACTAAATTTTTGTTTTCATAAATCAGTTAAAACTATCGATTTTGTCAACTATTAAATTATTAATTTTAATATTTATATCCTCAGTATGTACCTGATTTATATCGGCTTTTTTCAATTTTCTTCCTATAGTACAATACACCAGAGCTCTGTGCACACCTCTGACGGCTAAACTGTAGCAATTTCTTCTTCTACCAATGAAATGCTATCAGTGAATGCAACAAAAAAATGGAATAAGATAAATAAATTTTTCCGCTTTATCTTGTTAACTAATCAACAACTATTTGTGTTTTAACCTATGTTTATCACTTACCGCTGCGAGTCGAAAAATGTTTCGTTTGCGCCAAAATTCATCCGGACCTCGCGATCTCACAGATAAACTTGCGGATAAAAACACCATATTTTATGCCAATTATTTTTATCTTGATCCTTCTCCAAATTGAATCTCCTTCCAAATTACACACAATTTTTTTACGTAGCAGCCGACGCGCCGGACTACCAGAGAAAACACTGAGAGCAAAGAGCGGCCATATGGGGTCATATGAAAAATTGTAATAAAGCTCCTTGCACGGTGCGAGGGGCAACTACATAGCCATGTCCACGAACGAGTTGTCGGTACGTACGTTATGCACAAACGTGAAAATGGTTCTCTTTCACGCTATCTTGCGGATTCTATTCAGTTCACATCCTGAGTTACGTTCCAAAATCCTATCTTGGTTACTAAAATGCAATATTTCACGTCACGTGTACTATAGTTTTTGAAAAATCCTACCTTCCCAAACGTAACCCTGAAAATATCTCCTTGCGTTCTTGCTTTGCCGCCATCGCGTGCGCACTTCGGGATTTGTCGTTGCAACATATTTACGTATTTAAAGTTTTTTTTTCCTTTTTGTGTAGATGTAAATTTTTCTCTTTCGAGAAAACGACTTCTGTCGGACTCTATCGACATAATAAGAAAGAGGACTGTGTAACATAACATGTGGAGAAATGGATAATTTGGAGGACAATCCAGATGATTTTAATAAGTTATTCGAAGAAACGAATGAGATTTTTGTCACCGAAGAAAATCCGCAAGAGTCTCCAGAGGAAACCGATAATGCTCTCCCTGTCGACGAAGAGCAGCGAGAAAAATTGGTGCAATTACCTTTGGGACGGGTAAAGAAGTTAATTAAACTGGATCCCGAAGTTTGCATTGTCAATCCGGAGGCTGTGTTTTTAATAGCAAAATCAGTGGTAAATAACAGTTTTTTTTTTTTTTTTTTTTTATACGTATTCTCTTAATCATTTCTCGATGTAATGTTTTAATTTAATCATGTCGTACCTTTTTACCAGGAACTTTTCATTGACTCGCTCGCAAAAGAAGCATACAAATACACCGTGCAAAACAGAAAGAGAACTGTTCAGAAACATGATGTAGAAACTGCCATTGACAATGTTGATGCGCTTGTATTTTTAGAAGGTACGCTTGACTAATTACACTTGTATTTTGTCAACCTAAAATTAAGTCGGTTGTATTAAAAAAAAAAAAAAAAAACAGAAAATACTTCTTAAATGCCGATATTTTTATACTTTTACGTTGAACTCCGCCAACATGTTTTTGATAAAAAAAAACTGATGTAAATGTGAATGTAAATAAATACAAAAATATTTTATGAATATAAATCTCTGTTGTACTAGCAATAAGAATTAAAGCCTTACCTGTTTTGCATTAGCTTGTATGTGTCAAGTTTATAAATAGGTTGAAAAAAAAAATAGCACAGCTGTAAAAGAGACTATGACTGACTGTTAATGCAGTTTGTGTTTCATCATTTCATTTTGCACTCATTTATTTCATTTCATTCGTACATAATAGATTGTTTTCATAAGACATTTGTAGCATTTCACAAGAGAAATTGTTGTAGTAATTAAAATTTATAGTCATTACAGTGTATATAAGTTACTTGGTAGATGTTATCACCTGTAAAAAGTAGTTATATTATTAATGTATACATATACGCAATGTGTGAGTATTGCTGATAAAACAAAATATTAATAAGTTTTATTCTTGTTGCACTCTTCTTTCTATTTACGAAGTATTTTGTAGAAAGAATAAAATTGTGTAAAAGGATGGTTTTCATCAGTTTTTTGCACTTAAGACAATGAGATCGCCAGTGCAGCTTCAGGAACGTAACATTGCGTACATATACACGTTTTTTTTTTTTCCCATTCTAGCGCTCTGTAGTAGATACACAAGTAAACATGTATTAAGAGAGTGGAATTTGCACACACTGGTTCTCTTATATAGCTTCATACAAGAGAAGATAGAGAGAGAGAGAGAGAGAGAGAGTAACAGAATAAGAGAAAAAAATCAACCTTTTTCATATTTGCCAGTTATTTTAAGTTCTTGTGCGTGGTTTCCAGGTGGAAATTATCATTTCACGTTTTGAAACATTGTTAATTTTAAAAACTTCCAAGATTAAAAAAAATTTCTTGACATTTTAAAACAATTTTTTATGTTAATTTCTAAACTGCATAATTTAAAGATACATTTATGTTATCCAGAAAAAAAGATAAAAGAAGACAAAACGAAATACAGTTTTCTATGATGTAGTAAAATATTGTTTTTCTATCTCTGTGAAAACATCAAGTTGTATTATATAAATTATCAAAAATGCACATGTGTATTAAAATGTTCAAATGCACAAATGTAAGTTCGTACAATATTTTTTCTTATTATCTACAAGTCTACAACCATTATTATTTGGCATCTTTATATGTATATGTATATATATATATATTCAGTTTTAAAAGTTTTGCATAATTTTAAACTGGCAAACTTATTGATTCTTGTACTGATAAATACAGTAAGTTATCTTATCATGTTTTCGTCGGTTATTATGATACTCTCTTGACCATTGTTGAAACCTTTTAGTGTGCAAGTCATGACTTCTACTTGATGCAATAATTACGACATGGAGTGTTTGTCATAAACAAAACAAAACAAAACATAAATCATTTTTTCATAATCTCATATGCTGTATCAGTCAAATATTAGTATTTCATGAATATTTTTTTTGTAATATCTATATATGCTAATGTTAATTGTTTACGGATAGTAGATATAAATCTCATTGTGTATAGTATGCATTTATAACGCGCAGTTTTCAATTATATCATGTTCGATACCAAAAAGTTATTTTGCCATTGCCTTTGCTTTTTTACTTCTTACGCTTAGTTTTACGTCGTCTGGAATCCCCTCTAAACGAGTTTTGATCCCCCAATGGATTACTGTTAGCCGATTGGCTGTGGTTGTAAAGATTGTTTAGAAAGTCCTCAAAATCCGCTTCGCTGTTTTATGAAAAACAAAGACGTCGCGTTAATTTCAAATGTGTGTTCTTAAAAATGAATTTGTTCAACAAGACAACGAGAAAACTTCGAAAAATTAATGTTCTGCTTTGCGTAAACGTTAAAGAATATTAATAGATTGCAATTTACCTGGTATTTGGATCTATCTGTTGCCGTCTTCTACCGCTAACGGATGTTTGAGATGATAATCTTTGTCCTAAGACGATTCTGTATTGGACACTATGCGTATTTGCTCTAAGATGCTTGAGATTCCCAGCTTGGCAAGCGGCCCAGTCGGTCACGTCATACACCGCTCCTTCCATGCATGCGTAATAGTGCCATAGAAAACCCATTAAGCGAGACTCTGCCCAAATATCACCCTATACAGACGATTGAAATGATACATTTTGAAAGCAGGTAATCTGACAAGTGTTACAAATAACGCGACAATTACTTCTTTCGCGCTGTGACGTATTTTGCATTGAGCGCAAAACCGTGCGGCATAACAGGGACGTTGTGTAGGAACACGTTTGTGTCTTAAGCCACAATTTGTACATCTTATCGTATTTGCCGCTTGTTCCATTTTTCGTTGAAGTTGAGACAGTAAGTCGCTCAGTTCACTCCATGCCGCTTCGACTTGTCTAGTCTGATCAAACGCTTGCCTACGTTCCTGAAATAGGATCGTGAAAAAACCAATAATGTCACCGTTGTGACACTTTGCAATTACAGATAAAATATTTGTATTATTTTTTCTCTTCCTCTCTCTTTTTCTCTCTATGACTGCGGTCAAAGTAACGCTACAAATAATTTAAAGCAACATTCCATCTTCGTTCTACATTTGCAACGAGGAATAAAGTCAGAACAATGCTCGCGAAACATTTGCAGCGCTACTTTAACGCGTTAATTAATTTATGTATGTAAATTTTGCACACAAGAGTAGAGTAAAATAAACGCTTTATTACCGGTTCTCCAATAATATCAAAGGCGTGTACCAGAATTTTAAACGCTTCTTCCGCTCCCGGCTGATTATTTTTATCCGGATGAACTAAGAAAGCTTGACGCTTGTAGTACTTTTTAATATCGTCATCCGAACAAGTTGGCGTAACGCCGAGTATGCTGTAAGGATCCTTTCCTTTACACGCCAATAATCTCTTCATCGCTTCCTCACCGGTGCTGGGTAACGCGATGTTACTTTCTAACCCACCGCGAATCCAATTGCCATCCTTCTCCTCGTTTTTCTTAATATTTATCTTTCGCCAGAACGCAAATTTTGTACTACCGAGCCAGCTATCCAATTGCTTACCGATAATATTTAGAATGCGAATTTTACAAAATGTCACAGCCATGTACACCCACCAACATTTCAAATAAACTAAAATGTGATACCAAGCACATTTGCCGCTGAAAAAAAATTATTAGAAAAATATATATAATCTTTCTCTCTCTCTCACTCTCTAAATTGATTAACAATATACTCTATTTATATTTTACTCCGAAGTAAAATTTATGTGTTACTACTTACAGCTGAACAACCAGATTGGCACTCATGCTAACTACATCGGAAATAAGATGCAGCAGCCAGTAAAAGATTTTCAATACAACTTTGCTCCAACGAGTCGCGTACTTATTTAAATTTTTATACAAATCTTTAACAGGAGACTCCCTATTTTCTCTTCTTCTATTTCTCTGTCCCTTTTTAATCTGCTGAGCCTTTTCAGCTTGAAAACGTTTAGAATTCTTCTCTTTGACCGCTTTCTTGTCCTCCTTGCTTATTTTGTTAATTATCTGTTGATTCTTCTCCACTTTCTCAGACGGAACCGTTTGACTGGAAGTATTAATCGTATTTAAATTGTTATTTATCTGTATTGGACGTTTCGGGATATTTCCGGTGATTTTAGAGTTGCTGTTTTGCGTTTTGATGTTATTAAGAGTTTCATTTTTTTCTGTTTTCTTCAACGGTTTGACGGGAGGTTTCTTTTTTTCCGAAGTAAACTGATCGGATCTGTCGAAAGCGTTTATCTGACGGGAATCGGATTGCGAACCAAGGTTGTCCAGAGACACCCAACGTCTCGGAAGATTGGACGAATTTTTTTCCAGAACCTTTTTAGGTATTTGCATCTTCGGAGAGTTGTGATCGTCACTGCCGGACGAATTCTGTCTCTTTAATGACGCAGGTTTGTTCTTATTTTTAGTATTCTTGTTTGAGATCTTTTTACCTGTCACCTCAACTTTTGGCTTTGTGGGCTGCACCGTTAACGGAGACGGCGGAGCTGGCGCAGATTTTGTCAATACATCGGAGTAAGAGGGTCGCATCGGTTTTACCTCCGCCACCATCCGTGGTTTTTTGTACTGAGAATCGGATGTGTTTCTCGGTAATTCTTCGAGATCTCGTTTATCCGGTACAGGCTGTGGCGCAGGTGTAACATTAGGAGATCCGCCAAACGGGCTGTACGTCCCAGATTGATTTGGAACCCAATTACCGACCAAATTTTCAATCAACTGTTTCCCATTAAAATTCTGACTTGGCATATCGGGTGATACAGATAAATGTTGATCATTGAAAAGACCATACTCCTGATTAACAATATTTTGACTTGAGTACGGTGTCATATTTGGAAGTTGGCATTGTTCAGCCATAAGTTGAGAAGCATTTCCATAAATGACATTGATATAATTTCCACCTCCAACATCAATGGTGCCAATCAAATCATTATTTTCATTGATACCTAAGTGATTCACTGTCTGTGGTGGATAGTATATTGAGTCAGTGGCTGTAGTGTCGTAACTTGGCATATCTTGCATATACAAAGAAGTAGTCATTGGTGTTATAGTTTGCATTCCCGAAGGATGATTTGAATGGGTTGGTTGACCGGTTATATGATGTCTGCTTTGTCCAGATGCATAATCTCCCCAATTATGAGACGTTGCTTGCTGTGGATTAACACCGAATTGAACATAATGACCGCTTGAGCCTTCCAAAGTCATAGCTTCGATAATCTTATCTAAACTTATTTGCTTGAAACCAGGTGGAGTTTGTTGTTCTGCCATATTGATTTATTCCTAGAGAGAAAAAGCAATAAACAAATCTGTTACTTTATTTTACAAAATAATATAAAGTGTCAGTTTTAATAATAAGAGTCTATTATTAAAAAGTAAAGCAATATAATGGTAAAAATATTTATTCAGTTTGCACTTCTCTACTTACTAATGCTAATATATATTTTTTTCTAAAATCTATACAGTATAAATAAAATTATATAAATATACATATCTATGTATATACTTTGCAACTGTCAGGATCAATATATCATTGGTGTGTATTTAGAAATAAGACAAAACGTAACGATATATTTAGCGTAATAAATATATATATAAATATATGTATATATATTTTTTGGCGTAATAAACACAAATGTATGTGTGTATATGTGTGTGTGTGTTCTAAATATATTATTCATATAACCACATTGTGTTTTCGAGAATAATCAATAACGTCTGTTACGTGTTGATACATAGTGAGATACACATATAAAATCAACATTGTTATTTTTCGCGCGTTGTTGAAATATAAATTTGCACAGAATAATTAATAACTCCGAGAAAAATAACCTAAAATCAACGGGATGTCAACAGATGTCCGGACACAATACTCACCTTTATCACCGAGTGTATCTTTTTCACTGTGTTTTCTCGTCTTCCTCATTCAGCGCATTTTACATTAGCGAAAAAATCTGTATTTATGTAAGTTATATACTTTTACGTTATATACTACCATGCGGCAAGAGCGCGAAATCGAACATTGTATGTGCTCCAATCGTTCGATTACTACATACATACAGACACTCGGGAAGAACTTTTGATCGCGTTCCGAAATTCATTGTCAGTATGTCATACGAAAATCTATAGTTTACGTAACGTATAATTCAGCCAGTACTGAAACTCTATAACATATGTCACGTGAACTATAGATCCAACAGCTGCTTTTCAACGACGTATACACGGATGACACAGCGTGACATTGCTAAACATAACAAAAATTTAAGTAGCACGAGCAGAGATAAGAATGAGAGCGGCCAGATCTATAAGAAAATGTGTAATCGCTTTTCCGTTCTGTAAGCCAGCGCAATGCCCGTGTGTGGTGCATATTGGCAACTACGTAGATATGTCCAATGAACGACTTGTCGGTACGTACGTTATGTTCGAACGTGGACATGGTTCTATTCCGTGCTACGTCCGCAACCGTGCGGTGCACTGTGCCACCGCATACATATTTCTCGTGTATATAAAAAATATACACATATATACACATTTCTTGTGTATATAAAATAAATATATACACAAGAAATACATACATATGTTGTTGGAAAGCAACTACTATCTCCCCAATCCGCTGAACTAAATACTACAATCTACACTAACTCACCGCACACACTCGCACGCGCATGTTAACACACGCCATACCAACCAACATTTTTTTTCTTTCAAACTCGTCCAGTGCTCCAGAATTGACCAATCGTATTGGTCAATCGGTTTAATTGGATTAATGCGATTGGTTCGAGTGAATTTGAGTTCTGATACTCGGCAGAGAATTTTAAAACACAGATGATGAACAATTGGTTGGTTTGATTTGTGATGGTAGCTTGTTGTGCAATTAGTTTGAATAAAAGTTACATTAGACAGTGTAAATAGATTCTGTATAAATAGATGTTTTATATTGCGAAATGTTATGAATCATGAATCTCATTTCCGATGAGCTCATTGTGAATGAACTCATTCAATCAACAGTGATGTTATCATGGATGTTAAATTCTATATTTTTTTTTATATACATTCCATGTATCTACGTATATAACTAATCAGTTTTTATATGTAATGTAATGTAATAACAAAGAATAACATATGGATTTTAATAGCTCACTATCAAGTCAAATCAAACCAAATTTATATGTACATATATATATGTAATAATTTTGTGTAAATATCGCAAATGTGTAAATACTGAGTTAAAATAGTGTAGATTGATTCAGCACAATCAGTCACAACTGTGTGATTTTCAGATTGAACAACATGCATTGTTATAAAAATTGATACCAAAATGAGCAGCGCAAAGCACAAAATATGGTTTGTATGATGCTTTTTGATAATATTTAAAAAGAAGCACTAATACTAGGCTTGATTTTGTATTCTTATCACTGTTTATACACATAAACTTTACATATTTGCACAATATTTCTGTGTAATATGCTTTGCAGCATGGTTTCGGATTTCTTTTATCCAAATATGGGTGGTGTGGAGGAACATATTTTTAATCTATCCCAATGCTTGCTGGAACATGGACACAAAGTAGTAATACTTACACACTCATATGGTGATAGAGTAGGAATACGATACATGACAAATGGTTTGAAGGTAAATTTGTTTTCTTTATATAAATTTTACACAACCAATTGCTGCTTAACAATTTTTTATGTTTATTCATTTTTCACGTAAGGTATATTACATACCTGTCAAGGTATTCTACAATCAATGTGTTCTTCCAACAATGATATGCTCTCTTCCGCTCATTAGATACATTTTCATAAGAGAAGAGATACAAATAATACATGGTCATTCTGCATTCTCTGCTTTAGCCCATGAAGGAATGCTGATTGGTAGATTAATGGGACTAAAAGTAAGCTGTACTATTTCTTTTAGCAGATAGTAAAAAATGATTTTAACACCATTTGGGTTCGTAGACAGTTTTTACAGATCATTCTCTTTTTGGCTTTGCGGACGCATCTGCTATTCTGACGAACAAATTTCTTGAGATATCACTTGTGGATTGTGATCACTGCATATGTGTGTCTCATACCGGGAAAGAGAATACAGTATTGCGAGCTAAAGTACAAAAGGAAAAAGTGTCAGTTATTCCAAATGCTGTCGATACTGCATTGTTTACACCTGACATTACCAAACAAAGCAACGATTTTAGTAAGTGTAGAAAAAAATCCTAGATTTTTTCCAGATATACGGTAGAAAAGCGATATATTCTTGTTTCTTATAATGTTAATTCATATTTAATAAATTTGTCAATTTCAGTCACTATAGTAATAGTATCGCGATTAGTATACAGAAAGGGTGTAGATCTTCTAGCTCAAATAATACCTGAGATTTGTTCACGTCATAAAAATGTACAATTTTTGATTGGTGGAGATGGTCCAAAAAGATGGCTTATAGAAGAAGTACGTGAGAGAAATCTTCTGCAACACAGAGTTACTTTGTTGGGCAGCTTGGAACATTCTCAAGTCAAACATGTTCTTAATAAGGGGCACATTTTTTTGAATACAAGTCTGACGGAGGCTTATTGCATGGCTATTGTGGAAGCAGCTTCGTGCGGGTAAATTTTTCGCACATCCGATTTCTTCTCTTTTTTTCTCATTGCTTGTGCAAATCTGAAACTATTTTGTTAGTTCTATTTTTTCTATTCTACCTTTATCCACATTATTTTAAACAAAATATATAACGTGATATAAATTATATACATTCTTTTATATAGTTTGCAGGTAGTTTCGACGAAAGTTGGCGGAATCCCGGAAGTCTTGCCACCAGATCTTATTTATCTTGTAGAGCCTACTGCTCCTGCATTAATTGAAGGACTGGAGGCTGCTATAACGGATTATAAAAAAGGCAATGTCAAATGTCCTTTCGATACGCACAAAAGAATAAGCGCATTCTACAATTGGTTTAACATCACTAAACGTACGGAAATTGTGTATAATTTAGTGAAGCGTGAAGCCAAACGAAATCTAGGACAGCAATTAGCTAGTCAGATACAGAGTGGTGTGTTGGCCTACTTGCTTGTAGTATCCCTGTGCTATATAATATTAATAGTCCTGGAATTTCTTGTTCCTAAAAAGGTAAAACATTACTCAGTTTTCTCTCATTTTTCCAATCGTCTGTAGGTGCGCTTGTCTCTCTTTATGTTCACACGTGATAAATTTTCAGTACATCGATATCGCGCGGGACTACAACGAAATTCATGTTATGTCGTCCAACAAGAAAAGAAAAAAAGACTAACGATATATTATCACACATAAAAGACTGGAAAATATGTAAACTTCTCAAATTTCAAAATGTGTTCAAGTATTTTATTCTGTACTTTGAAAACATTCCAAAAAAAAAAAAAAAAAAAACTGATCTTTTACAAAAGTTATTGTTGAATAATGTGCGAATGTTTATTGTGGTTGCATCTTTCTATAGTTTTACAAGAATATGATACATACATATACGTACATATGGATATATATATGTATATACATGTACATATAAGAATATGTATGTATATATTTATATATATGTAATAGTACACAACACAACGTATAAAGTACAAGTTCTTTGATACTTCTTTTTTGTACGTAGTTTCAACTGATAGGATTATTTATATTTTTTATTATTTATTATATTATACGTATATGTATATACGGGTAACTTTCATAGAAAAATGTCGACAGATAAATGAATCTTTAATAACTGATCAATGAGCATCAGATCATTATTTATCAAAATAATGTAATTCACATTTGTTATATGAGTTTTATTATGATACACATGATACTTGTATGAACCAATGCATAACATGTATAACAATTCGTAACGATAGTCAACCATAACGCCACTTACCCCATATAATACATGTGATACATACATACTTAAGAAAGATATTTATTGCATTATTAATAAAATATCATCGTGTGTATTACGAATTATTGTTGAATTATTATCGTGCTTACGTTTATAAAGCAATTCACGCTAACTTTTTAAGCAGTTATTTGTAGCAATATGTGGAATAGAACGGTTAATTCATGTTCTTGTAGTCTCTATGTAGTGATGCATTACCATATTTCCGAGTATTTTTACTTTCTTGTAAGAGCATTGTTAATTTCGAACTTGCGGTTTTATCACAAAAGTTGCCATATGTATCATATTTTCATCCAGTACACAACCTCTGTATACAAAATGGATATAATTGCATATGTGTATATATATATATATATATATATATATATATATATATATATATA